CAGTTCATATATGGGGATTATTAGGAGGCCATGATTGGTAAGGGCCAATGGGAAATTTGGCCTGGACACTGGGGTTACACCCCTACTCTTTTCGAGAAACGACCTGGGATTTTTAATGACAACGGAGAGTCGGGACCTCAGTTTTACATCTCATCTGAAGGATGGCTCCTGTTTACAGTATAGTGTCCCCATCACAATAGTGGGGCATTAGAACCCACACGGACCGCAGGGTGAGCGCCCCCCTGCTGGCCCCACTAACACCTCTTCCAGCAGCAACCTTAGTTTTTCCAAAGAGATTTCCCATCCAGGTACTGACCAGGCTCACACCTGCTTAGCTTCAGTGGGCTGCCAGTTGTGAGTTGCAGAGTGATATGGCTGCTGGCCATAACTGGGGATCTCGGAGCCTTCAACATAGCAGGCTACTATTGGAACAGACTTAACAATGACTTTTCTAAAGAACATCAGGGTAAGGTTGTAAAATAGAACACAGTTAGATCAGCTCCGTTGTATTTGAAACAGAGAACAGGACCCTGGGGTTGCACACACAGGACAGGGCTTCTTCATTACATGGCTGCCTGTGGATTGATCATGGGCAATATACAGTAGATATGTACAGTATGTGTGGCAGAAAGAGAAGACACAGTCCAAACAGCAGGATTTTCAAATTATTTCTTCCTGGAAAATGCAGCTCAGGTGGCAAGGAGAGAAGAGTCTTGTTTGCCTTGAGAAAGAGGGAGTTGAAGCCCTGATATGAGACCAGTGGGGTGTCTCCTGACGTTTCAGGAGTTTAGTTTCCAAGTTTCTTAATTTCTATAGTTTCTTTCTTCCGTCGAAGGGTCTAAATCTTCCTGCCTCGCATCCTTAGACTAATCTCCAGTGACAAAGGATTTTTTTAACCTACGCGATTTGTTCAGTCAGCCTTTGTTTCGTACCTATCGTACTGTTAGATGGCGGGGCACTGAGAGAGCCCTCAACGTTGGTCACCCTTGTGTCCACTTGCTTTTGATGAGCATTTCTGGAGTACCATTTTACAAAATGGAAGAATGTTGGCTTGTTTTTGAAAGGTTTCTCCATTTTCCCACCGTTTGGCTCGTGAGCCTCGTGTAAAACAGCTTGCTGTGGGTTGTGTTGTTGAGCGAAAAGCCAGGAGGAAAAAACGTTGTACACGACAGGAAGTTCACCTTTGGAAAAACACTTACGTGGTAAGTCATGCAAACTCCTGGCAAATTTCTCTAGCAGCACACGGTTTTCGCCTGAGATCCATAAAGAAAGCGTTGTCACGAGAGGGACCCTCAACAGGTGGAGTCTGATGGGGCTAACTGTGAGGCAGCCTGCCTCCCCTGATGGCCCCCCTCCCTCACCTGAGGTCGCCGACGAACCCGCGGCTCTGAGCGCTTCATTACCGTCTCTCCGCCACAGAGGACCCCTCCCTCTCTACCTCCAACAACAAATTGACCAGGTGGGAATTCTCCCTGCGCTCTGCTGCCCGCCTGGAGCTCGAGCGGGCCGCTGTCTTCCCGGCGATACACCTCACACTCCATGTTCTCACCACCGGGAGCACAACCTCAAGAAGAATTTGCTCCCGAGACAGCCGCAGAAAGAACAGACACAAATAATGTGCTGTGTGAAATCTCGGAGATGGGAATGCTGCTAAAAAGACAGATGTGGACATTGTCTTAGCTGAACGCAGTCACAGTTGGCACGCTTTCCAGAAATATTACTTCTGTTCCAGCTGCTCCACACTGCAAATATTTATTAGGAGAAAAACAGAAACTGCTCTTAAATCAGAGCCCCTTAGATCATTTGAGGAAGAGCATGACTTCTACATCTTAATGATTGTAATTCAGGTTTTGTTGGGATTATACAGGCGAAGGCGAGCCTACCTAAAAAGCAGAATGACTCAAGTGTGGCTGGGTGTGTCACCTGCAAAAATCGGGGATACTTCAAGACCTCAGACATCAAATAAAGTGTAAAACACTTTAGAACCACAAAACAACAATTACTTATCTTTTTCAACACCATATAATAACATAATTTAGGGGAATCATTCAAATTGACTGTTTCTGGCACTTAGTAGACCATTGTGGTCATTCATTCCATAACACAGAGCCAGATTTTATTAAGAAGCTCATCTCATTTCATCTCGCTCATGTTACATTGTTACGATGAGATGGAAAGTCAAACTGAATTCTACAACTGAACTACGCTAGCTCACAGCAAACACGTGAACAGCTACAGTGCTGAGACTGACATCCAGGTATAGATACACAGCGCATGGCCAGTCAGGGTTGCTACTGAACTGTTTCATGTTTGGTTGTATTGGGACTGTGTAGCTGTTGTCCTTAAAAATACACATCTTTTCTGGCACGAGGGAGGGAAATCCACTGGCTTTTCAACGTGCCTTCTTGTGTCTCCCCCTATTTATTCTTAGCTCCTGCGGGGCTCAGGGCTCAACATTAGGGTCCAGCCTAGCACCAGGATACCCTACGTCCGTTTCCTGAGGGCATAGGCCTCGTCCCCGACACCTCCCGTGTTCTGAGCCCGGGGTCTGGAGGACCTCGCCCCATTATCCCAGGATCTCCATGTTGGCTGTCTGTTTGTGTTTTCCCCATTCCCGGGGTTTTTAACCTTGTCACGTCTCAGGATGGATCTTTTGCTAATGGACTCCTGGACTGTCCCCTGACCCTCCTTCGGTCCCGCTCGGATTTGGATGCCATTCTTCGCACCCCCGCTCACTGTCTCCCGGACTGTCACTATTATTCTGTGCACCACTAAACCCCTGTGTTATTTCCCATACCACACCTCCTGTTTCCTCCAGCTCTTACCGCATCGCATAGGATATACTACAAAACCCGACACTGAGTGCAGACCCTGTCCGTAACAGGGTCTAGAAGAGTCATGAGGTTCATGCTGATATTCTGACCTGACCGCTGGGGACCTTTGAAAAGTGATCACTCAATCCAAGCAAGCTTTTAAATAACTTGGTTACCTATTTATGAGCTCAGGTAGCCTTGTTGTGAAAGCCAGTACCCAGACTTCTCTCAAGTAATGGCTGGATGAAATCCTCCAATCAGGACAGGAAGCACTTCTTTACCCAGAAATCACAGTTATGTGAAACAAGCTACCCAGCCATGTTGTTGAAGTCGCTATCCTGATTCTTTTAAAGAAGAGATCCTAGGATCAATTAACTACTAAGTGGACTGGATGGGTAGAATGACCTCCTCGTTTGCAAATTAAAGCTGAGGGTGTTGCTAATTACTCATTGAACACAAAAAATGTGCAAATGAAGCTATTGCTTTTATCCTCAACAAAAAATAGCTTAGTGTTCTCCATGTTCTATTTGTTGAATAGCATCTGCATGATTACTATGTTAACAGGGCATTTATGAGCTTGGAATCGGTATTTACAAAATGTCAATATGTTTCTATCTGGACAAGGATAAAAATGGAAATTTGAATTGAATACACACCCAGCCATTTAAAGCTTGGTGTGAGAATGATTAATCAATCATTTGACTTGTTTATAGTCAAAAAGTCATTAATTAAGCCTAGAAGTCTATTGCTCAAATTTGTGGTTGCCAATATACAAAAATATTTTCAGATGATGCTGCAACGCTTGAACTCTTTGATACTTATGAAAACTAGCTAACCAACCTACCAACCAATCAATCGATACAGCTATAGCACCCTTTTCTACATATTGCCTGATAGAACTCTACAGAATTACACAGCAGTTGACAATAATTAATTGACAATAATGAATCAATTTCCTGTGACTATGGCGAACATTAAAATACAATATTTATACAAAAAACATATTAGACAGCAGTCTGCAGCAGTGATTAGGGCTCTATAGGGTTCAAATCCCATGTGGGGCACAGCTGTTGTACTCTTTCATCAGATTGCTCTGGTAAAACACCAAGTTGTACAGTATAAATGAGTGTAAATGGATGTGTCAGCCACATCAATTAGTAATTAATTAAGTAATATGATGGTCTTTGCTGAAAACTGGTAGTGTGACTGAGGTCCATGTCTCCATCCACTCTCAGAAAGCAGAGTATTCCTGGTGACCCAGATCCTATCTTGGAAGCACAGGGACACCAGTCCATCACAGGACACAAGACAGGACTGCACCCTGGACTGAACACCAGTCCATCACAGGACTCAAAACAGAACTGCACCCTGGACTGGACACCAGTCCATCACAGGACACAAAACAGGACTGCACCCTGGACTGGACACCAGTCCATCACACAAAACAGGACTGCACCCTGGACTGAACACCAGTCCATCACAGGACACAAAACAGGACTGCATCCTGAACAGGACACCATCCAGGGGCAAGTCAGACAAACCTATTAACAAGGTCAGTATGTCCTTAGAAGGTGGGAGACAAGCAGACCACCTGGAGAGCCCGTGCAAGCATGGTGGAAGTACCATGCATACTCCACACAGAAGGTGCCACGAGCCCAAATCGAACCTAGTCGGCACATCTTTGGGAAGTGGAAGGCCATAGAAAATCAGTAAAGAAATAGGAAAAATCAAACATCAAATAGCAGAATGAGTTACAGGTTCATATGATACAATGTATTCAAAGGCTTAACTTGGGTGAGAAGACACTCAAGACACATGTATCAGCCTTCAAAAACGTGATCAGTACAACTCAAGGTCAGCTGTGCATGAGCAACCAATACAAAGTGTTGAAGAAGCTAATCAATCACATTTACCAGTCAAACTAATTGACACATTGACAGGTGCTCCTCATCATTTCCATCATAGGTTTCACTCTTTACATCTGTAAAGCTAAAAGCCTGCTTCTAAATGGCTGAAATCTCTAAGACAATTGCACAGCACAGAACACAAATTGCAACTTTCTCTCTAGGAGTAAAACAAAATATTTGCCTGTGGAATAAAACCACACTGTGCTTAAGCAGTCATGTGGATACAGGTCACATTGCAATTTCAGTGCACCCTGAGGACAGGAGGTACAGTAAGTCTTACCTGCAGTACGTCCACAAGACAGCTTTTATCTTCAGTTTTACTGACCTGCAAAGGACAAAGGACATTTCTCAGCGCTCGGCAGTGGGACAGCTTACTTTTGATAAATGATTTCAATGCCTCAGAGAGTGAGAAGAACGAAATTAGCAAAGTCACTTCATTTTTCTAATAAGATACATTAGGATAGCTCAATAATTCCACTGCAACACTTCAATGTTAGTACTCATATTGCTTTTATATTTTAAGACATTCAGAATATTTAGGAAAGAGTATATACAATGTAAAAGGCTGGCATTTCATAGTATTACACCTACTGTATAACCCTTTTCCTCATAAGGGACAACTTTTTAGATGAATGATGACAACTGTTGTTTATTTCCTTGGTCTTGATCTGCAAAGTAACTCCCAGTTCATTCTTTGAAATGTGGTGTTGGGCTATTAGTAAGAGTGCTCAAACAATTGACACTCAAATGAATCTTTATGTTAGGGGACAATACTTTATGTATAAAACTACTGGATTCAATACTTTTTAGCATGTGAAGGAAGATATTTAGTATCAGTAAATCCTTACGTCAAGGCTTAAGAAATATTAGCTTTGTGGGACATTATACTATTAAAGACAGAGATATTAGGCTGGTTCTGAACAAGTAGGGAATTTTTAAATATGCTGTGAAACAATTTTTTGGCACAAATAAAGTATGCAATGCTTACTAGACTCCTAAGATTTAATGTCCCATAAACAATAAAACAAACTACAACTGTTACAGTATGTGTCCATTACTGGTAGCTTTACGACAGCTAGCACAAATCAGGTTATATTAAATTTGTGAGCATGAGGGATTACCAAATATTTACAATTCCAATAGTATACCTTCCAAGGGATAAAAGGGAAATTAAAACTTTGAGAGCTGTTGAGACCTCTGGGATATTTTTTGAGGCTTATAGACAGGACCCAACAGCTAACCTCAAATTTCAGCTGACTCCTCCTGTCTTCTCTTACGATGAGATTACCACTACATGTGAATGCTCGTGTATTCCTCAAAATGTATGTCACCCCTGTCTGGAATATTCAGAAAAACTATGAACACTAAGTCTTTGACACACAACCCGTTTTTTCTTCTGCTAAACGAGAACAGTATCTAGGAAAGAAATACTATTATATTTTCGTGCAGGCCACATGTGTCTTGCGACAAGGGCAGTAGTAGTAGTTAGTTATAATGTGTAGCTAGTAGTTACTGTATTTGTATGTTCTGTTAAATTTTGGCCACACTGTTTTTATTTCACATGCATGCCCCTAGTAGTGTAGTGTTTTGTCTGTTTGGTGTCGGTTCCTGTACCGGTGACAGCAGAGAAGCTTGTATGGCGTTAGGTTCGACCAGCTTTGCTTTGCTACTGTGTAATCTTGGCTGTATGAATGCATGCCCAGGCTCTGGAATGATTAACACTCGTTCGCTGTTATGTGTGTATCTCGCCGCCTTCGTTAAAACCCACACTTTTAGAATCAGTTGGGGATGAAAAGAAAAGGCAAAACAGACGAGGCCACACAGGGTAGATGGCTTCCCTTTGTTTGTAATCTCTTGTACTGTGTGCTCCTGACACAGAGCTGATCACAAAAGCAGTACAGCTGGGTAACCTGTTAACCTCCATCTCACGTAGAGCTTCGGCATGCCCTGGCCCACAGAGACAGTGCCGGTGCCCCGCGGTGAGGTGGGTACTTGCTGCAGGGCACAGCTGTAACCTGTCCCTGTTGCGCCGGCTCTCGTGGCACGTGTGAGCATCGCAGGGAAACCACATCCACTCCAGCTGGAGCGGCTCACCTCCGGGCACACGCACACGCACGCACACACACACACTAACACGCACAACACGGGGACACGCCGCCCGGAGTCTGACACGCTTCAGGCCGAGTGTGAATTTGCCTTCAGATTATTTTCCATAAACACGCCCAGCCGCCCGATTCAGCATGGAAAAAATGTAACCAAAACCACATCAATTCATTTAAGTTCGACTTCAAAGCGGCCACGAGCGTTAAGGACCTGTGGGGTTCTGATGCTTAAACAGCCGGTGCTGCCATCCAGCTCTCGGGAACACAGGGGAAGGACTGCTGCAGGCTCTGCGCACTGGGCCTGGGGACTACAGGCCCACGGCCTTCACAGCCACTCTTCAACTGGCCACTGTTAGAGCCTTAGCCAGGTTGGGTCCAACTGATACAAAAAAGGTACAAATCTAATAATTACAGCTGCAGGAAAAATTCAGATCAAGGCCCTTGTTCAGCCCTGTTCCAGCTGTGGAACAGCAATGCCACTGAGTGACCTAGAGGCCATGGGAATGTGCTCTGAAGGTGTGCCCACTCGTGCTCTTGCAGCTGAAAGAGGCGCGGCCAACAGCAGCGCCTCAGAGTGCGGCCTGGTCAGGTCCCACAGAGCGAGCTCGGGCAGTCTGGGACTGTGGGGCGCAGAAGGAAATGCAGTTGATTGCTGTGTGTGATGTGTTGTCGGTGGACCAGGAGGTGGCACTCTTCAGGGACACTGAGCAAATGTGAAGAAGGTTTTGTCTTGCCGACAAGACTTTTCTCCTATGTCATGGCCACTCTTTGGGTATCAAGGTCTCACAGCTCTTTTTTTTTTAATAGGGTGACTCTCATACCCTGTCCAAATAAAAACAAAAAGCTATATTCTAAGACTGAACACACATATTCTAAAACATAGCTGAATGACTTCGGCTTGACATCAGTTCTCTGCTGCCTCATCCCTTTCCCAGCTTTCTGTTGAAATCTGATTGAGCCGCCCCAGGACAGCACGCTAGAAACATTGCGCCAAACACTGAGAACGTACAGGTCTTCCGGAGAACCGCCCCCGCGGGGGTCCAGTTTAGTTTTCATTTCAAATTAACACCGTCAGTGTCTACAGCTGAGAGTCAAACGTAAAAGCACGATTACGGATTGTAAATTGAAACACCTTAAAAATGTGTCACCAGAGGTGACTACATCTGAAGCAACAACACCAAAGAAATTCTTGAAATATTCAGCTGAATACTAAACTAAGCTCAGATAAAAACACTTGGATCAATCTTCCGCCTTTTTAAAGAAAGTTTGTTACAACCTGAATTCTGTTTCATTCTTAGCTACCTTTTTACGTAATTGCTTTACTATCTTTGAGCTACGCTATATGCATTTATAGTTTCCGTTTTTCAAGCTGGCGTTCAAAGGATTGGATGACTCACAGTAAACGGTCATAGCTGATGTACCAGAGGAAGCCCATCAAACAGCAATTATTTCAGCCATTTTTTTCTGTGGTCTGTACATGCACTTATCACGATAGGTGAGTCATTTGCTGCTCTTCAAAACTGAGATAAAACTAAGAAGAACAGAGAGCCAGGGCAAATAATACTTAAGTCATGTGCACTAGCCCCTCAACGAAATTACTGTGCTCTCATCGGAAAAGCTACCGTAAATTTGCATGCCAGATGTCCCTGAGAAGGTCTGATTTTACCTGTTGCCTGCAATAAAAAAGTTGAGCTGGTTTCAGTCTTGTTTCTCCATGCACTTCATCCCTGCTCTGTATTTTGAATTATTAAAGTAGCACACTCGTCTTTTCGCAAAACTTGGTGTAATATTGCCACAGGTCGGCAATTAAAGAAATGTAATACTCTTACATCATAACGACGATATTTCTGTTCTTTTTTTACAAAACAAACCTTTCTCGATCCGCACATTCGAAACGTATTTTCTTATACGCGCTTCTCGCCAGTATCTTACACAGAATGATCTCAAGATACCTTTCTACCGATCGCGACATACATAAGTAACATTATTCATTCATTTCAAGAACCCTGAAGAGTTTATTAAATGATACGACCCGAAGTAACTGACTAGAACTAACATCAGGAACAGTGGCAATGGTAGTGATATCAGCAGTTACAAAACTTTCAAATGTCACCCGAGCTGTTTTAACAATCGCGGAAAACAGTGTTCCGCTCAGCGCCCACTCACCTGAGGTGTCAAACGAACCATCAAAGACAAGCTGGCAACTTCTCTTTTCCGAGCCAAGGTCGTAGGCATGTTTCCTCACTTCTTTGACGTGGTGCCCATCGCACCCGAAAGCGCCGTGCAGCTCGAACCGACCGAGTTGCAAGACCCGAAAGCAGCTCGGCGGCGCGCCCGGCTGGTTTCTGCGCTCAGCCCGGCAGCCGGGGAAGGCGCAAGCTCTTGGCAGCCGAGAAGATGCGACACCCTGTCAGCGGCGTCGGCTGCCCTGCAGTGCAACTGACACACCTCAGGCAACAAACAGCTCGTACTGTTAGCGGGAGCTGCGGAGGCATCAGCCGGTCATTGATAAAAAAAAATAATTGCCGCGGTTGACTACTACAGTCAGCCTCTGGGAACATGGGAAAAGCGAAACGCTGGGGAAATAAAGACCGCAATTGTGGCGAACGAATCAGACGAGATACTACGAAAGAAAATAGGTAGGCGGGTTCATTTTGGGGGGCGAATGTCAAATTATAGATACCCTTTAAAGACGGATTTCTCATCCATAGCGTCAGTCGTACACGTCATGTGTGTAAAGACCGACTGAGATCCGGTAAGATCACGCTAAGAACGCGTTTGCAGAGCTGTGATCGTTTGACACACGACACTACAGTCGTTTCTTGCGCTAAACGAAGTTGCTACGAATATTATCGCTAAACTGATAGGGCTTTTGTAAAACATTGATAAGCGAGTTTTAGAGCAACAGCTTGTTTAATAAAAAAAAACGTTCAGTCAAAAGTATTTTATTGTTTTGAAATGTGGCGTTTAAAATAATTGAATCTGCCAACTTTTGGAAAGTGACAAAATTCTCCATAGATTTTTATTTTAGAAACCGGAATAAGCACTTGACCAGCTCAGTGTTAAGGATAAAAATATGTTTGGAGTAACTATTACATTCAATAACGCAGCATGTAATAAAGCTGTAGACAGCAAAACTCATATAATATGAAGATTTAAAAAATTTACATTACTCATTCCACTTTGGACTTAAGAAATATTATGATGCTTCTTTGTAATATTACATGCAGTGTATGAAAGTCTACTACTCCACCAAGTATTGTTCTTAAAACTCCTCCTGGCCAGCCTTATGTTCAGTGTGTGACACAGTTACAGGACACTTGGGGCCTGTCAGTGCTGCCCCCAACAGGCAGCTCACTGCTGGAGCACGATGTACAATTCCTGGTTGGACTATGAGCACAGAGCACAGACAGCAGGGCTTTGCTGGTCATGTGGAGGACAGATACAGCCCATAATGCCCAGGCTCACAGGTGACAAAGTCTGACAAAGTACATGGGTCACTGCTGCTCAGAGAACAAGGGGTTCCCTTGGAGACACAGCTATTTGGCCCTTTCTGTGCATCTCCATGGGATCAAATAGCCAAGGTTGAGTAGTGCCAGAGCCTTATAATAACATAGACAGGATACAAAGTCACTTAGGCTGATGCAGTCCATTTGGTAGTTAGTTTTTCAATGACCGGGTTGATCTCATCCAGCTGTGTCTTGAAAGAAACCAGGGTATCGGCTGCAACAACATTGCTGGGTAGCTTGTTCCACACTCCCACAACTCTTTGTGTAAAGAATTGCCTAATGTTCTCAGTTTTAAATGTACATCCAGGTAGTTTCCACTTGGGCCCCTCTGGTTTGTGTTTCACTGTTCGTTCTGGAGAAATCCTCTAGGTGGACTTTTTTCTAGTTATTCTAGAATATATAGCAGAAAATCAGAGTCTAATTATAGTGCACATCTCACCCTGCACTCTGAGTGAAAACTCTAGCCAACAGAAGCAGAGGTTATCTGTGGGACAACCTCTTTAGCACAGAGAGTAATGCCAGACCTCTGTGCTCTGATCCAGTGTCCTGGCAGTCACTGCTGTAGGCTGCAGCCTGTTCTCTGGTGCCGAGGGAAACTGAGACGAGTAATTTGACACCTTTGCCACACTTGTGTTCACCTCCAGCTCGCCCCAGGACTGATCACACAGTTGCTGCTGTTCTCTCTGTGTATCCATCTACCACAAGCTTTAAACAATCAATACCATTGCAACACTGTGATGTACTTTGGATTTACAATTACTAAATGATAATTTGGTTAACAATGTCAGAATGTAGCAAATGTTACTCATTTAAAGAGCTGTTTGCCACAGGTCAAAAAGAACCACTGTTTTCAGTCAGTAGCACAGGCTGAAGGTACCAGTTTTTGGGAATACACCTTGAGTTGATGTTCATCACTGTTACCTACAAGGGTGAATGCTGTGCTCCTTCAGTTCCCAGACACCTCTTCACAGGCGCATCTAGCCTGGAGACGTTATAAATGCTCACTCTCAAGCCTCCTCTGTCTGTACAGTTTAACGAGGGAGGTCCTCGATTTGTCCATGAAGGGAAGTCAACACCTTCTCTACTGTCAAGCATGGAGGAGGAGTAAGGAAGAGGAGAGCAAGCTTTGGGACTGAGGTTAGAAACAGAGCAGGGAGCACACACACTGGTCCAGTTCTGCAAGCAGATTTCTTCTGCCTGACATCCATGGGTAAACCCACAGTGAGCTCCGGTGCTGCAGGCTCGTCTGTGCTCCTTCCAGCTCCCATCATCACTCAGGCTCCTGATACAGCAAGGGAGGCAGGTGCCAACCCCCACCACCAAAACACACTCCAGCGCTTATTCTTGATTATTTTTCTAAAGTTTCCCTTTTGATTACCAAAATGGTGAATCTCTGGAAATCTGATTGCCCTGATTTACCATATCACTGATGGTCAAGGTGACACAAATTAAATCAGGGACACCCAAACTATTTGTCTTCTGATATATAAGACCACAAAGTGTGTATGTGTGTGGGGAGGGGGCTCAATGAATTATCCTGGACTTTACAAGCTGTACTAATAACCTTGAGTATTTGACAGACTTTTACTCTGCTCCCACTCTCATAAATAGCTTTTTACTGTTCCTATAAAGGATAGCTGGAGGGCCGTTATATTTTTATCTTCAGGAAAGTGGAAAGAAGGTCAATAAAATAAAAAGAAACCGGCCCACGGCAGAGAAAGAGACATCACGGAGAGGGGAATATTATTTCACCTGGTGTTGTTCGCGCTGTCAAGAGGTTATGATGGGGATATAGCACCAGGGCAGGAGCACGGCCTATTAATTTCTTCAGAAAACTGTAAACAGCCCTATAAAAGGGTAAATAAAAGCCACCTGGAACCTCTGGAGAGTGCCATACTTGTGTGGCTTTCTAGCATTAATACAAACATCCTGTCTTCCTTGCTGATGAATAGTTTCTGTGAAAGATCATCTCCCCTCCAATGGCGTAGGTCAATAGATGAGTGGTTGAGTTGTAGCAAAATACTACCAGTCAAAACTGAGATGCACAAAGAAAGCACAGCCTCAGGACAGGGGCTTGACAGTTGTGCCGACCTCAGAGAATCAGTTCAATTATGTAAAAATGCAATATATAATGAAAAATCGAATGAATGCACAGGACATATTCAAGATGTCTGAATAAGTCTCTCTATCAGAGCCCAGCAAAAAAAGGAGTTATGATATGGCTGCTTTGAAAGTAATGTTGCTGAGCATTAAGAGAGACAGCAAGGACAGCACTGTGATGTCAAACTGCAGAAGGACATAAGAGGCAAAAAATAAAGAAAACCCTGAACATAACTTTTCATAGAACCTGGTTGCTTCGGCAATCCACACTATTGCTTGTATTTCATTTAATCATGGTAGGAAGCAACACTAAGTATGTGACTTGTTTGTGCCTTCTCCTTTGTGTGCCTGGTGTTTTGCTGCAAGTGTATCATCTCTGAGACAGGGCTACTCTTCGTAATGCGGCAGGTCTCTGGATCAGGTCCTGTTAGGGATTTCAGGTTTGTTGCCTCCTTCTATTCCAGCACTTCCTGTCCTCTCCAGGGAATGGATTGTTTTCTCGAAGTGTTTCAGTGGGGAATTGTGGGTAGGACTGAGCACAGAGACGCTGTGGCACAGCCAGCATTTCATCTCTCACTCTGGGATCAGAGTGGAAAACACTCGGTCACAGAGGGAATATGCCTTTTCATCTGGCGAATGCAGTTGTATCCGACCTCCCGCCAGGCAGTGAGCCCCAGTGCACTCATTTAGGCAAGCGAACATACCTGTTTATAGTTCTTACATACTGTATCCCCTGGTACTGTTTTGTTCTCTGGGGGCGCCTGTGGTTTCTGGATAACAAACAATCTCATGAACCACTTTGGAATCAACACCCTCACCACAATGATCTCTTTGCCTGAGTATCTTGGAGCTGCTTCATTTAAAAAAAATGTTTTAGTTGATCATTTCTAGGAAATGTAATAAGTCCTACAAGTAACAAACTCTCTGACATCTCACTGGACGCCTTCTGTGTTTTAGTTGTGAGTACAAATTTCCACTTTTTTATGCCACTCTTTCTTTCAACCATAAAGACTTCTCTCATTATTTAATTCATTTTTTGAAATTGTCGCTGAGCCTCAAAGAGAGATTTCAATGCAAGAGAGGACACACCTCACAGGTCATTTTTTTTTAAATGAGCCTTTTAACACTGGGGAGCCTGCAGACTAAGCCATTGTACCGAACCCAGAAAAAATGACGCTCCTAGTGCACTGAGCTCCATAGGAGTTGAAGATGAATAAAAAAAGAAATTCTTCCCCCACTGATCAGAAACTAAGATGTTTCTTCCTCATATACCTTTATTTCTTAACAACTTCAGAGTAAGAGGCTCATCTACTGTATCTAATGGGCTTAACAGTACACATTTTATTGTACTTAATCTGCTTCTGCAAAACATGTATTAGATCAAATGAGATCAGGTTAAGGTTAATATATCAAGGTGCTTTTTGGTATATGCATATACACCAACACTTCACTTTGGCTGCTTTATCAGGAGTTTCACTTCCTATGGGTTGGATTTCCTTGCGAAGTTAATACCACAGATTACTGTTGCCTATAAACATCATCCACCTTCCTTACTTACCAAAGAAATGCACTAGATGTCGGTTAATCTATTATTCATCAATTGTTATAATGCATTATTAACACATTTAACTGATGCCCGTGTCCAAAGTGAAGCATCTGTGCCTGTCAGCAAATCTGGGCTCTTTCCTGGAGTATTCAGCGCGAAATACCGCACTCAGAGATGTGAAGGCAGAACCTCTAGTTTCCAGTGAGAAGGCCAGAGCCCTGGTCCCAGTTCCTGGCCTGTTTGGGGGCACTGATCTGAGCCTCAAACCCACAGGCAGAGAGAAACATGGGCAGGATTACCAACTCAGTTTGGGCGTGATGATCACCCCCCTCAGCCAAAAAAATGCGGTCTCTAACTTTACAAGGAGAAGCCCGATAAGACAATCCTGTCCCTACATTTATTTTTAATTGTGTTTGACAACTTCGAATGCGGATTTCTGGGTGGTAGAATGTTGTTTTCCTCTCTCCAGTAAACAAGGAAATGAAAAACAAAGCGCTGAACATGTTCCTGCTGGTGCGATTTGATGAACGACAGCTGTGCCTCACCAGACAAGACAAAGCCATGGAAGTATTGACCTGATCATTGAAGTGCAATAAAGGGAATAACTGAGCTGCTCTCTGGGTCACTCGGCATGGATATCTCCACTGTAATATTTCAGAAAGAAAAGTGCTCTGACCCTGAATAAAAAAAAAACACATAATATTCACCACAGACCCAATATCCAGTGTACAGAAAATACACAAACAGATTTATTGTGTGCCTGAAATGTCACACAGTACTGATGGATGGAAACCAGGAAGTGCTTGAAGGAAGCAGATCGGAGGTTAGCAAAAATAGAAAAAGCAGAAAAGCAGCTGAAAGATTGCAATGACAGGAAATAAAAAGGGAAGGTATAGAACAGATACACATATATGTTTCTGCTGGCCTAGGATTAATTCTCTCCAGTTTCATTTTTAACTTTTTTTTTTACACTGATTAATTTCTCCCATGGAGCTCCAGGCGATCAGTAATTCTAAATGCTGTTTTTCCAGAATAGTTATTCTTCTAAGAGTGGAGATGTGGAACATATAACCAGAGGCCATTGTTGTCACCACTAATTAATATCCAGGTTGTGTGTTGACAGATACTTTGGTCAAAGGATTCTGTCATGGCCTGATCCGTAATTATGCTGAGTTTTTTAAAGGTAGTCCATAAGAAAAAAACGGCTTTCACCACTTTCTGGCCTAAACAAAAGCCAAAACATGCTTTGAGAAGTTTGACCCTGCTTCCTAAAACACTAGACCAAAGATTTCATGAACTCCCTGCCCTTTTACTACAGCCTTGTTCTGACGCTGCTCAGAGCATGATAAATGTGGCGTTCAGACTTTAACTGCGCAGAGAGTGATGGCCGAGACATGTCAGTACTTAACAGTGAAAAAATAAGCATTTGCTTTTGCATTCGATGCAATCATGCATAAAACATGATGATTATAAAGCAGCAGAATCTTAAAGAAAATGACCAAAAAAAACCTGCGATAAACGTATGGGTCTGGTTACCAAGTCTCTCTGCGCTTGCATAATACATCTTCCACAGCCAACAGAACAGGGTATGTTTTTCCCATGGAAACAGAAAGACAACGGAGAGAAAACCCTTTCTGGACACCTGCAACAGCAGTACATTTCTGACTGGGTTTCAACAAGGTCCCTCTCTGGATAGGGTGTATGAAGACCTTGAAAACCTTAAACAGCTTGTGTTAAGGTTAATAGTTTGGGTTGGAGAGTGAATGACCCTACTGGCAATGTTCTAAGGACTTGTGCTTAGAAATGTTGTCTGTGGTAAACAAACACTGTAAAGGTAGTAAAACCCAGTGATGTCATGTGAATATGCAGTGATGTCATGTGAAAACACAGGGATGTCATGTGGCAGCGCAGTGATGTCATGTGAAAGTGCAGTGATGTCATGGGTTTGTCATGGCAAACCATGATGTATTACTGGCCATAGGAAACTGTGGATAGTGTTCTATAGTATCACCCAATTAAAGCCATAGGAAAACTGCAAAAAACATTCAAATATATACAGGGGCATATGGAAATGAACAAATTGCAGAATGAAGAAACCTTTTCAGAACTGTGCACTTTCACTGTTTCCTCATAGGCAGGCTCAGAGGTATGTTGGAATTAACTTTCACTCTGACAGGATTTCCTCCAAAACTTTCTTCACCACCATTTCAAACTCTGGATTGACCCCACACAAATTTTATAAACCCACTATTGTACTTGCTTTAAACGTCTGGTTACAGATTTGTTTTTCTCCGAGCCTCACTGCATCAGAATGGACAGACATGGCTCTAGCCAATCACAAATGTCAGGCATGGTATGGGGTGTGCCAGTTACCCCATCCAGAACCAACCAATGCTGGGAGCACCATTGCTTGGGGAGTCCCACAGAGAAGCTGGCCAGTCGCATAACCGAGACATGAACCAGAAGTGCATTGAGTTGAGCCCAGATTAGTTAGTAGCTAAAATGAATCCATCCATTTAGTTTGAAGGAAGCCTGAAGTCTGAACAGCTTTTTCCATACTGGCTGGGCAGCTCGTTCCCCACTGGCTGGGCATCTTGCTCTATATTGGTTGGGTAGCTTGTTCCATACTGTTCAATACTGGCTAGAACTAATTAATTACTGGCTGGGCAACTTGTTCCCTACTGGCAGAGCAGCTTGTTTCATACACTTGCACTCCAAACAAATAATTTTACTGGTCGAACCACTTTGGAGTCCCCCAAGTCCCCATGTCTGAGATAAAAATAGTTAAGCAAAACCATAAATAAATAAATTGTTAGGCCACCTGACTAGCTGTTCTTTTTTCTTCTGGAAGATAATTCAAATGCAAGGCCTGCATGCCGTAAAACATTGTCGTAATAGATGTTGCAGCACATAAAATCCTAAAGCAAAACAACGTGTTGCTGTCTAGGCGTTTGTGTAGCCATGATAATATTGTAAGTTATTAAGTTATTATCTCTTGGCAATACTATCACGACCACACAAGCAAACCGTGTTTTGATAAATCAAAAAGTGCTCATAAAATCCCCATAAAAATCAATAAAATGTGTTGACATACACTGCAGCTACATTTTACAAGAAAGAAGCTTTCATATGAGGGCTCCAGAGAGTACATTTTTATTAAACTTACTTCATTTCTGGCTGTTAAAGGACTGTCCCAAGTAATACTCCATACCAATGAAAACAGAGGAATAAACCTGTGGATCCTGTATATTCTGCATATGCACAGCAGAGTATTTTAATGGAGGCAGGATCTTTGATAACAGGACTATAGAAAGGTGATGTCTGATTCAACGGCAGCATATCTACTGTTTTTAAGATGAACTTCAGGTGAGAGCCTGACTCGGCTGCTTTGCACTTGACGTGAGGAGCAACAGCTCTATCTATCGCTCCGTCTTCTCAAGGCTTCCTGTCACTCTCAACGACCCACTTTAAATTTACTTCGCATTTGCTTGAAGGGGGCTTCTAAAAAAACACATAATTATGCTGAAAATTGCAGCTTTTCAGTGTGGAATAACCTTTTCTTGTTCCTCTGCAGCCCGGACACTGATGTAGCTCCCCACTCAAAGGTATTATTATTATTATTATTATTATTCATAATAACATGATTAATGAATATTATCCCTCCATTACGACTGCACTCTAGTGACTACTGACTTCATGCCGTTCCTGTTTCAGCTACTGGGAGCCCTGCTTAAATAACATTCACCCTCTGACCAGGGAGCAGACCCCGGAGAGCCTAGTATCTTCTGGCTTTCATTTCACTCTGGGTACTCAATTAAACAAGTCACGCAACTGTTTTCCTAGTTTGGCACACACAGGGTTTCAGAAGGTCTTTTTGCACATGATCATGTGTTGATGAAGCACCTCAGAGCCTGTTGGAAGTATTACAGTTGTGTAGTTAATTAAATAATTACAGTAGATCAACTGTCTAGCTGAGAGCTCAGATGGGAAGAAGAACAAAAACAACCGGAAGGACCCATTAGATGCAGGTTTGTCTTTGCATTTGATTTGCTGCAGTTGTTTTGCCCAGCAGGTGTACTGTGCTGCTGCCATCACAGTGCCAACCTATCCTGGATGTCCAGGTGGCCAAGGCAATGAGCATTTGGTGTGCAATTCAGTACTCGTAGGTCAGTTGGCTTACTGGAAAATTGGCATCCTGCCCAGGGTGTACCTTGCCTCGCATCTTTTGGTTGCTGGGATAGGTTCCGGCTCCCTACGACCCTGAATTGGATGAAGTGGTTAGAGAATGGATGGATTGGTAATAAAAAATGAAAAGGCTTCTGTTTGGTCAGCTATGCTTATGTCACTATTCTTTAGCGAAATCTTCCTTATGTTAAAGGGAAATATGTAAAATCTAGACAGTGCACATGATTAGGAATCTTACAGTAGTTCTTATAAAAGTAAATAGCATTGCCTTTTGTACAACTTAAATTGAATTGTGAATTTCTTTCAAGAACATTTGCTTTTATTTTATCTGCATTTATTCCACTTTATATTGTGGGCTTATGAATTTGCATGCTGCAATGAAGAGAATCCCCTACAAATAAAGAACATACTGCCTGCGATCGGAGAATGCAAACTCTTGGACATAGTCTCCCAGTCTTAGTCCTCTGCCCAGGTTCAAAAGCAGCTTGACTAGGCCTTGTGTCTTAAAGACTAGAGCTCCTTGGAGCTCATATTGGTCTCCATGGTAACCCATAGTGAATCCCGGTCCCTCCTGGCCCCATGGTCCTCACCAGGGAGTGTGTCTTATGGGCTGCCATAACTTCTGTTTACAAGTGGAGTCTCGGCAAAATTAGTATCAGACTCTTTAATTGCAGCGTTTTACGGAAACAGAAATGAAAAAAAAAACCTACAGTACATTCTAAATGAACTGTCCTATTTATCACTTTTTGGGTTGTATGGAAAATAGACCATATATATCCATTTTTGTTCTAAAAGTTTTCACCATGCAGAAAAAAAATCCTTTCTATGCATGTTTTTAGCAAATTTAGCAAATCACCCATAATGGCTACATGGACATACAGTACAGTTTTCATACTGCACCACTTGGACATAATGTATTGCATACACCCTGGACACATCGCAGCTCTATTCATATTGAGTTTTGTCTGAGTTTATTTTGTTCAATTTCTATTACATTATTATCTACTATTATGTAACGTTATTTTGTGATTTTTTATCCCCCTCCCCCGGTGAGCTCATATAAAAGACATTTCATTGCCAGCAACTACTGCTGCACGCTGTATTATTGTGCATTTTATAAATACACTTTGATTGATTGATTGTTTAATTTGGCTCATCCCTGTCCTGGTTTTCTCTAGATGCTTCAGCATACTCAAACCTTGCAAACACAAAAGGGATGGGTTCATTAGCATCTCTGAATTGTCCCTCTGCGTGTGTGTCTGGGCATGTGTATGCATGTGTGTGCTCTAGTGGTGGACTAGCACCTTGTCCGTAGTGTAGTCCCTTGTGCACTGTGCCATTATGTAGGACAGCACAGTCAATCCGTAGTAATTACATAGCCCCCTGCAGGAAATCACACTCAATCCATATTAATAGCAGAGTTCTCTGTATGAATTGCCGTCAAACCCTAGTAAAAACAGGGTTCCCTGCAGGTCAAACCATGGTAAAAGCTTATGAGCCTAATGGCAGGTGTGATACGAACCTTGTGTGACCATGACAAAACACAATAAAAGCACAAGCATGTTAAGAGCTTGTGAACATACAATCACTGTCCTGATTCTGCTTGGCGAGAGTTCACAGTGTTCCAAGCTCTGGAGCCACTCAGTAAGGAAACATCTAGCTTGAGTGCCCCCAGTGCAGCCCATGAGTTTACCTTGAAGTAGCAAGAGCAAGCAAAACCCAGGAAGAAAAGCCCCCTTTAGAATGGCTGGGAGAGATCGTCGGTTCTGTGGGTAATTCAATCAGAAAATAAGAAGTTATTTATCTGCGCTGAGAATAAATAATCTAGAAGGGAATTTGACTTTAAAAGCACAGAGACTGGCTGATGAGCTCTTTCCTCTAGCTCTTGCTTGATTGCTGATGATTTAAATGGTTTTATTAGTGCTAATGAGCCTATCTGATTTCCTTTTTTTTTGTCCTGTCCCTAAATGAACAAAAGGAGCCCGAATTCTCTCGGAGTGCTAATTTATGCCCTCTCAGCCGCACTAATAAAACACCGCTCGGAAGACGCTGGATATTACCCGATAATGAGAACAGATGATGTGCGGCGACAGAAGGCTAGGATGCTATAACAGAAAGCAATCCGACTTGGTATTTATTGCTGGGCTATTATGTAGAAATATTGCAGAAGTAAAAGCTCTTAAAAAATTGAATCCTCCGGCAGTGCATCACTCATAACTCACTGCCATGTGATCAATCCTCATAAAGCCTGCTTTGCCTGCATAGTTTAGCCGTCAAAGTCTCGGAAATTTGCTGCTGTCCTGGATGACTGCAACCCCCCGCCCCACCAAATATGTTTATTCATGTCGCACTGTTTCAACACAACACTACGACTCCGCATATTTCAATGCCTTTACAACCATCACCTCGGGAGTGGAGATAGTTTATGCTGCAATCACTCTCTGCCACTTGGATCACACACACAACCAGGCCCTGATGAAACTGGACAAGCAAGCTCCTGTGTTTTGGGCTTAGATCCAGTTCAATGGACTGGAGCGCTCAGATCTTCATGGCACACTGGTGAATTGACAGGGCTCAGAGCTTACCTGCAGCTGTCAGAGGTTGGTTTATAAATACGGGCTGCCGTTGGTGGATGGTGTGTTCACGTGCCAAAGAGAAATGTTTGCTTGCTCTCCTCCCACTCATGACAAAATTCAGCTATTGCATTCATTAATGTTCTGATTCGGTGCACAGGCCTCAAGGGGACTAGTGTTTTTTTTTAATTAAAACCATAAATCTCTGATATCCATCCATCTTTTGATAAATAAAGAAAACAAATCTTGTCTGATCTCAGAAGCTAAGCAGGGTCGGGCCAGGTTTGTACTTGGATGGGAGCCTGGGAATAGCAGGTGCTGTAAGCTTTGGCGGTGTGGTGGCTCTGTGGCTGAGGATCTGCGCCTGTGGCTGGAAGGTTGCCGGTTTGTATCCCGCGGTCAGCAGAGGAATCCTACTCCGTTGGGCCCCTGAGCAAGGCCCTTAACTCCAACTGCTCCAGGGGTGCTGTATAAATGGCTGACCCTGTGCTCTGACCCCCAGCTTCCCTCCCTTTCTGTGTGTCTCATGGAGAGCAAGTTGGGGTATGCGAAAAGACAAATTTCTAATATGGCCAACAAAGTGATCTCATCTAACTTCAGAGAGCCATGTCGAGCCAACAGGCATCACATTATGAGAGAGGGCTATGCCTCGGACAGGATGCAATTTGGAGAGGGGGAGAATATGCAAACTCCACACAGAAGGTATCTCTGGCCAGAATCGTACCCAACACAGGGTATGCGCTACATTTCCTTTGAGACTGGACTCCCTTGCACTAATGAGCCCGGGCCTTTTTCCCGTCTCGCCGCTACACATATGGGTCTTTTTCCGATCTCCTGCTCCCCACGGTTAGTCCCTTTGGACGTCCGTGACATTTCAGGAATGCAGTTAGCTACTAGCAACCAAATGAACTGATTTGGTTTGGTTCCTGAGAGAAATAAATTGATCTTAATGACAGTGTGGAGAGGGTGGCATGGTGGCACGGTAGTTAGCATTGCTACCCCGAAGGTGCTGGCATCATGGATACAACTACAGACCCAGGGTGCTGTCTATGTGGAGCTTGTATGTTCTCCCTGTGTTCACGAGGGTTTCCTCCTGGTGCTCTGCTTTTGTCCCACAGTTCAAAAATATACATCCATACCAAACCCGACACTGATGTGGCTGTCTCTATTCTATCTAATTGCATCTCTGACATAAAAATTTGGATGACTCAAAACTTCCTTCATCTTAACTGTGACAAGACTGAAGTCATGCTTATTGGTACCCCCCATCAACTCCGTAAAGCCAGCCCTGTAACCCTGTCTGTAGATGGCTCTGTACTTGAGCTCCAATCAAAATTGAAAAACCTTGGGGTTATTCCAGCTTAACATTCGACCCACATGTACAGCATACTGTCAAAACATCTTTTTTTCACCTTAGAAATATCGCAAGACTACGCCCTATGCTATCATTAACTGTGGCTGAAAAGCTGATCAACATATTTGTATTCTCTCGAATTGACTACTGCAATGCTCTGCTCCCTGGGGTATCTAAATCTACTCTGAACAAGCTGCAGTATGTCCAAAATTCAGCAGCCAGAATCCTGACCAGATCTAGTGCAAGTGTTCACATTACTCCTATCCTGGAGTCCTTGCACTGGCTTCCGGTCAAATTCCGCGTAGACTTTAAAATCCTCATGCTCACCTACAAGGCTTTACATGGCTTGGCACTTCAATACCTGTCTGAACTTTTATCGCCCTACTCCCCACCTCGCAACCTCCGCTCTTCAAATTCTGCCCTCCTTACTGTCCCCCAAGCCCGTCTACATTGTATGGGCGACAGGGCCTTCTCCTGCTATGCCCCCAAGCTC